GCCTAGAGATAATACCTTTAACTATGTTAAATGGAATTAACGTGAAGCGTGTTTCTGTGTACAATATTATGACTGTTTGTGGACAGTAGTTGAAAAACTGTTGTTTACATGAAGATTTGTAAATGTTTTGCCAATGTGTTCATTTCCTGTAATCTTTGGAAATCTTGCTGTTAGTACACCCTGGAAAATTTAGTAATTATTAAATAATAATTAATAGTAACTGATGATTAAAACTAATGCTGGTTATGTTCCCGTCTGTCTCAAGGCTTCCGTCATCGTCCCACTGCCTAAAAAGTTGCCTACAAACAGTCCGAATGACTACAGGCCGGTGGCACTAACTTCAATCTTAATGAAGTGCTTTGAGCAGTTAGTTCGGAAATATATTATCTCCTGCCTTCCTGATCCCTTTGATGGGCTTCAGTTTGCTTATAAAGAAAATAGATCAACCGAGGATGCAATCAATACTGTGCTTTATATGGCTTTATCCCACTTGGAAACACAAGGGAATTATGTAAGAATGCTGTTCGCGGACTTTAGCTCTGCTTTTAACACCATTATACCCCACAGATTAATAGACAAACTTAAAGATCTTGATTTTCCAGATTCTATCTGTCTGTGGATTTTGGATTTTTTAACAAATCGTCCACAAAGGGTTAAACTGAATGACTACATCTCTACTGACAAGATACTCAGCACTGGCACTCCACAAGGCTGTGTCCTTAGACCACTACTGTTCTCCATTTATTCATCAGATTGCACCAATAACCATCCCAGTAATAGGATTATCAAATTTGCAGACAATACTACACTAGTAGGACTTATCTCTGGGGATGATGAGTCTGCGTATCGGGACGAGGTATTACAGCTATCCCGCTGGTGCAAAAAAAACAATCTTTTATTTAACATCCAAAAAACCAAGGAAATCATAGTGGACTATAGGAAAAAAAGAGCAGACATTCAGCCACTGTATATAGATGGAGTTTGTGTGGAACAGGTGGTTGAATGTAAGTTTCTTGGGACTATCATAACAAATGACCTGACTTGGAGTGCAAACACCGCTGCGTTAATCAGGAAGGCACAACAACGGTTGTATTTTCTAAGGATTCTTAGAAAGCAACAATTGACTGAGAGTTTGTTAATCACCTTCTATCGGAGTTCGATTGAGAGCATATTATCCTACTGTCTCTGTGTATGGTTCACGAGCTGCACAGTGGCAGAGAAAAAGGCAATTCAAAGGGTGATTAAGACGGCCCAAAACATCATTGGCTGTTCACTCCCCTCTTTGGAAGAATTGTATAAGAACAGATGTAAGAGGAAGATATCTAACATACTGAAAGACTCCTCTCATCCGGGATATCAGCTCTTTAAACTATTACCATCAGGAAGGAGATTCAGGGTATTGAAAGCAAGGACAAGCAGATTCAAGAACAGTTTTTACCCAAGTGCAGTATTGAGTTTAAATGCGGGGCCATAGGTTTTTGGTGGAATTTTAATTGCTGAGAGAAAACGGGGTATCTATATTTGGATGGTGAAAGTTGTGTATATTTTAACTTTTTTTTGTAGTGTTGTCCAGTTTTACCTTGGGGAAGAGCACCTCATTTCGTTGCACCCACTTGTGAGCGCAATGACAAATAAATTTCTTATGTCTTATGTCTTATGTCTTATGTGTTTTCAATCTCCTGTTGAAGTATTTATAATAGAACTAAAAACCAAACATGGTCCACAAATTACTGCATGTTAGATGTAACCATACATCAAGGATTCTTAAAGCTAATGAATGTTTTACTTGTGAATTCGGTATTTCATTTTATTCCATATCTCCAAAGAAGTGGATCTAATCCAGGAAAGCTCACAGTAAAATATAATAGTTTTTAAGGTGCCATATGTTTGGGGTTTTTTGTCTTTTTTCCTTTGTTTTTGTTTTGTTTTCCTTTGGATTTTGCCTGATGATTAAGCGGTGTTTCAGTGTAATCACTTTTCTTAAGCGAATTTTAGATCAGGAGAGTTAAAACTGTAGTCCTCCAGATGTTGTAGAATTACCAGCTCCATAGTTCCTGAGAACTGGCTGTTTTGGCTACAACATCAGAGCAGCATAGGTCTCTCACACCTGTTGTTTCTTCTAATACTGTTTCAGTTGTTTTCTCAGTTCTTTATGTGTAATAATACTAAGAGCTGTAACTTTCACACACAAAAAAATTAATAAATGCTAGTTAAGAGTCATAGTTACACAATACAGTGGTGCCTCGCTTAACGAGCACACCGTTTCACGACGAATCCGCATAGCGATCTGTTTTTTCATATCGCTAATGCGATCGCATTGCGATGTTTTCAGTGGCAAAACATCGCATTGCGATGATCAGTAAGCGTTTCGCTTACCGATCTTCGCATTGCAATGTTTTTTTAAACAGCTGATTGGCAGTTCCAAAATGGCCGCCGGACGCCCAAAATGGGCGCCGCAACCAGTTTCGCACCCTGCCCTCGCTTACCGAGGGCGCAAAAATGGCGGCGCTCTGGAGGAACTTCGCTGAACGTTGAGTTTGGGGCCCCATAGGAACGCATTAATGCATTCCTATGGGGTTTTTTGGTCCGTTTAGCGATGTTTTTGCATAGCTACGATTAATCCGGAACGGATTAACGTCGCTATGCGGGGCACCACTGTATTACACAGTAGTTGTACTGGATGAATTGAAATGTTAGCAAGCAACATTTTGCTGCATGATCAGGATTTGTTTCCTTCCTCCATTTTTTGCAATATATTAATCAAAAGGTCAAAATTAAAGCAGAAATTTTGACAAAAATGTTCCCAAACCTTTATTCATCAAAATGTGAATGAAGGAATTAAGAGATTAGTGGATAGGCCCTTGCAGCCCACCTTGCTTTTCCCTTTGGCCCAATCTGACTGTTCATGTAGATGTTAAATAAAGCTCTAAAAGTGGAACTCATCCATTAATACAGTGAGGCATAGTTTTTTGTCAAAATTGCTGCTTTAATTTGGACCTTTTAATCACTATCTTGCAAGAAACAGAGGAAGGACATTCACAAGATCTGTATCATCTACAGCTTCCAAGTCATAGCAGGTCAAAGCAATCAGGTTTGTTTGGGGTGTGGTGTGCATCTGATGCAAGGAGCACTCCAAATGACATAGCACACCTCAAAGTGGCTTTGTTAGCTCATTCTGGACTGACCCAGGCCAGGATAATTGGGACATGTCGTTGCACCCTCTGTTGCTCTCCTAGGTGTGTATATAGGATCCTCCATAGTGACCTGGATAAATACTAGCTGCTGAGTACATTCCCCACTCACAGTGCAGTCCGGAGAGGCGAGAGGCAGGATACCAGTGAGGGCCACTGTGTCTGCCTTATGGATATGAGCTGTAGATGCCCTTCTGTTTCTCAATGTTAGCCAACATTTATTTTTGGAAAATGGATGTCCATTGAGGACACACATTTCATTTTATTTTTCATGCAAATGCTGTCACAGATGAGTAGTCCTCTTCCATTTTTTAAAATCTTGCTTTAAGATTGACAGGTGATTCTAAATAGAGAGGAATGAGCCTGCAGCTTCCATCCTCACAGTACTGTACAATGTGTGAGCAGCAGCAACACAACAGAGAGGGAGAGAGGAGAAAATGTACATTTTTGCTTACCTGCCGGAATTTTCCTTTTCTATGCCATAGGCCAGGGACTGTTGTTGGCCGTAGACAGTGCTCTGTATTTTGATCATCTCTCCCATGGATAAGGATCCTATTGCTAATTTGTGCTTGCCTAAGGGAAATCGTGTAAGTCTTGGTAGCAAATTACTGCTCATTAACAATGTGCTTGTTGTGTTCCCGGGGATGTGCAATTTGCTGCCATAATTTATAAGATTTCACTTACATGAGTATAAATTGCCAGTAGGATTCTAGCCATGATGCTGAAGTCACTTGTCTCAGTTTTCATTTTCTATGCAATGTGGCATGTTGGTGGAATAGGACAATATGGGTTAAAAAGACTACTTTCATGCAGCAGTACAGGTTGTGCATTACATCAGAAATAGTTTGCAACAATATTTCTCACACAGAGAGATGCCTGATTACAACATCTGCCTTCCACCCACTTCCACCCCAATTAGCTGCCATTGCTCCAGTTGGGCTCATCTGTTTGAATTACCTGATTGGTTCACCTTTTTACTTATCCATTGTGCTTCTGCCCAGAATTATAGTCCAGATTGCCTCAAATGGAATTGTAATGGTCTGCATTCTGCTTGGTGTTAAAGCAGCTCTGAGAACATCTCACCATGGTTCAGAGAGTGTTTTGTGAACTCTTCTTCATCTTAACTGTAATCCCTTGGTCACTGACTGGTGGAGCTCAAGGCTCTACTTTAGATTTGGTTTTCGTTTTGTTTTAAGCTAATTCCTGCAAGTCTGCTTTGCCCACCCTGATGCAAAATTTTAAACTGGGATCACAAAACAGGTCTTGTGATTAGGATGGTAAAAAGGTATGTGTTTTTAACCTGGAAATGTGTGATGTATTTGTGGGTTAGTAAATTTGCCTAAGCATCCATTGCAAATAAACAGAGAACACTGTAGACATTCTTTAGTAACTGGAAGAAAGTCAGATATGATGTATCCAGAGGACATTTAATGTGGCAGTGGGTGAAGAGGAGGAGAAGAGAATGTAAATGCTCCCTGTCCACATCTGGATTTTCATCTCAAGTTCTTCTTTTTTACTCACATTGCAGCCATTATTCTGTCACTAAGTACTCCTCTTAGTCTGTCTTCTACCCTATATCTTCCCATCCCTTTTTAATTTCTGCATTTTCCTAAATTACATCTGTTAAAAGAGTAATTAAATGCTGTAGCATACACACTAACACTAGCTTATTTTTTTTCCATTTGCCATAACCTCTCATTGGAGTGAAACCATTTCAGCTACCCAAAATGGGCATTGTATTGCGTTGCTTTCATGCAGGTAGTTCAGTTGCTAAATTATCATATTGAACATAGTACCTTTATGTTTCAGGAAAAAAAGAATGACTACTCACCCTTTGGATTTCATATTTGCCAGCATGGAAAGTGTTGATTCCACCATACATGAGAATTTTAGCATTAAAGTTCCTGGACCAATAGCAGGAGGTTCTCCGACAATGATGCGGTTGATTATAAGACATGACAGGAGTGGAGGCTGTTGTCAGGTGCATGGACTTGTTATTATGAAAAATGTGGTCTTTGCTCCCAGATTTACTGTGCAGTACAAGGCATTTTTCTCAGAAAGTACCCTGAATTCAGTGGGTCTTAACAGATTTTGTCCTTACTCCTAGAAAAGTGTATATAGAAGAGGTGGGTAACCTGTGGGAGTTGGAGGGCACATGGACTCTTTTCAAGCCAAGAGGGGTTGCAACTGTGCTGCCAGAAGAACTGACTTTTCTTCAGAAATTTGCTGCTGAACTGCTGCCCTATTTTGGTGACACAATAGTGCAGTTTATGGTCAAAGCCAAATTAACACTTACACAGGAGGCTGATTCAAATTTAAAACAGACATACTGCTTCTCTCAGTATTTAGTTTGTGCTAAATTAGACTGTGTAAAATAAAATTAATCAAAAGGGCAGTTAAGGTATAGCACACCATTGTAGCATTGTCCCAAGCTGTCATCTTTAACATGTTTTACAGAATGTGCAAGAATAGAAAATAAAGGACAGGTTCCTGAACCTTCTTGATGTGTGAGGATATTGTTCCTTGGATTTTTTTTTCAAACCTAAAGATTTATACGGTTTTAGCTGTTAGCATGTTCACATTTTCTATGGTGAACATTTTTTCATGGTTTTTGCTTAGTAGCCTCTTCAAAATATGAAAAATAGTTTGGAAATAAGTTGTCTACCAAGAAAGACAAGCATTTACCTAATACTGTATAATTGTAGAATATCTCTTTAGATTTAATTTGAATAATGAAGGTCCTGGAAATGTCGCTTAGGATCTTCACTAAGAGAAATTATATATTTTAGGGTTGCTGTATTTTAATTATTCAAATTGAGGTAGGCTTACTTGCATGCTATTTAAAATTGCTATCTAACGGCGGAGTGGACAATTAACATTAAAGTAATATCTAATCTAGGAGTAAAGAAAGATATTTAAGAAGGAATCTAGAGAGGGTCTCTGTTCAGTGTCTTCCAGCAATAAATCAGCAACAAATCATAACGCAAGACATCAGGATAAAATACTCCCGGGCTCCTGGGTGCCCTTATTGTTTCTCTCCCCCTCCTCCCTTCAAGGCTTTTGCCACCTGCAGATCTACAGTATTTGGAGCAGCTGGGGTCAGTCTGTGGACCTCAGAGGAAAGGAGAAAGGAGAGGGCAGAAGGAGTCTCCAGAAGGGGTATGATTGCCGTATCCACCTGCTACCTGCTACTCTTCGTTTACAGTCTTGAGGAGTGAAGCCAGCTGCAACCTGGATGACATTTTGCACCCTCTTCCCTCCAAGGGAGTTATACGATTAAGAGGCTTTCCTATCCTTTCCATGCTATGAACATCCCCGAAAAGAGGTGCAAGACCAATTCCAAAGTGTTGCTTGGATTTTTGGATTTGTCCATTTCATGTATCCTGGATCTTAGAGGATAGGAAGGACTAAAGAACAATCCTCTTGCTGCTCCCTTAAGAATGAGTTGTGTGCATTTGCTTAGCTTAGCAACTTACACTCTAGGAAGAACGTTCCTCAAGGAAGCTGCCTACAAACTTTTAAATCTAATTTCAAGTGTTTTAAAGTGTTTTCCTGTGGTTTTTGAACTTTTATTTCTGGATTGGTTGTACTTAGAGGTATCCCTCCCATCTATCTTTCTGCCTTGGACTGGGTGGAGGCAGTCGGTGTGGGTGTTTATGTTACTTAATTGTCTAGATTTTAGCCATCTTACCCTGTTTCCCCAAAAATAAACTCTACCCTGAAAGTAAGCCCTAGTATGATTTTTCAGGATGCTTGTAATATAAGCCCCCCCAAATAAGCCCCAGTTAAGTGAAGCCCCGCCCTCCACCATTGTGCAGCATTGTGCAGCAACAAGAAGAAGCTGACATGAGTGTATTTGAATAAATGCAGATTATTGTACATAAAAATTAAAATAAAACATCCCCTGAAAATAAGCCCCAATAAGTTTTTTGGAGCAAAAATTAATATAAGATCCTGTCTTATTTTCGGGAAGACACTGTATTATATTTTAAATTCTATTCAGGGCTTTCTCTAAAGTTTACCTGTTAAATGATCTGAAGCATAGGGGTTAATGGCAGGAAAAGATACAGGTGTATGAGTGACCTAAATCAACAGCCATTCCTTAAACAGTCTAGAATGGATGACTTTCTGTCCTTCTGAAATCTCCACTCTAAACAGCCAGTCTCTATTACCCCTGTTTTGGGCAGTAATTCAGAATCTGGCATAATTACAGTGGTGCCCCGCATAGCGACGTTAATCTGTTTCGGATTAATTGTCACTATGCAGAAACATCGCTAAACGGAACGGAAAAAGCCATAGGAATGCATTAAACTTGGTTTAATGCGTTCCTATGGCTCCCAAACTCACTGTTCAGCGAAGTTCCTCCATAGCGCTGCCAATTTCGCGCCCTCAGTAAGCGAGGGCAGGGTGCGGAAACACTTGTGACGGCCATTTTGGGCACCCGGTGGCCATTTTGGAACCGCCGATCAGCTGTTTAAAAAAACATCGCAATGCGAAGATCGGTAAGCGAAACGCTTACCAATCATCGCAGTGCGATGTTTTGCCTATTCAGAACATCACAATGCGATCGCATTAGCGATCTACACAAATAGATCGATATGCGGATTCATCGTTAAATGCTGCACTCGTTAAGCGAGGCACCACTGTAATGATGATAAAAAGGCTGCTATTGGAGATGAGTGTACAGAAGCTACTTTAGAAACTCCTGGTGTTTGCAACTCTCCACCTCAACCTGGGCTCGCCAGACCTGGGACTCCCTTTTCCAACTCCTCTCTCATAGAACTGTCAAGAAACCAGTGTTTTATGGTGGTCAACACAGTACTGTACAGAACATCTATTCCCAATTAAGAGAAATAGTGGGGAGTTTAAATCACTTTAAGCTGCCGCTATCTCATATGGAGGCCCAGTAACCAATAATCATTTTAGCTCTAAATAAACTCCAGTTTCAGTAAAGCAAACTGTATTTCCAGGAAAACTGTTGGCTAACCACACTTCTAAAATAAGCAAGGGTGGAGCCACCTGGGGATGTATATCATCCGGTTCTGCAGACACACATGTTGTTCTAAATATTATGCCATTTCATGGAGGTCTTCCACGCTGGGACTCGGTCCAGGCTGCTAAAGCCCATCTAAGACAACTTCTGGGGGTGAACTACGTAGATCTGAGAGCTCTTGAAGTGCTCCCCTCCTTCCCATCATACAATAGAGTTCTCCTTTGTTTTAAAAAAACAGTTATCCCCAATCACATGCTTAGAGAAAGACCTTTGTTGCACACTTTCGGTATTTTCCCTACAAGAGTTTTTAAAGATTTATCTTCTAGGCCCCTGTTTCCTTCTATAAGAGGTTCAGGAACTAATCACACAAATAAAGTGAGTAGGGAACGCCTAAGTGTTATTAAAAACAGGACAAAATCCACCCAGGGTGCCCCACCAGATACTGCAACCACAAATGATCTTAAACAAGCCCAACAAACTGACACAAAACATTCTTCATCTCAAAGGATCTTACCTAATTTATGACAAGATTCAGTTCCTGTTCAAGAAAGCGCAGATCTAATCAGTTGGGACCAGGATATATCCACTGATACAGCCATGGACAGAGATATCTCCCCAAGACGCTTACAACTGGAAACAAAAGATAGTGACCATGCACCTACTGTGCCTGAGTCACAGTCTCCAACTAGGGAGGATCCCTAGATCCTGGAGTATTCTCACCTTTTTGCCTCCTTCTCTGCATTGTCACAGTCTAGGCAGATCAACATTATAGAGAGACTTAACACAATTAGCTCAAAGCTCTTGAGAATGTTTGCAACCAATAACAAGGAAGATAAATTAAAGATAGTGACCATGCACCTACTGTGCCTGAGTCACAGTCTCCAACTAGGGAGGATCCCTAGATCCTGGAGTATTCTCACCTTTTTGCCTCCTTCTCTGCATTGTCACAGTCTAGGCAGATCAACATTATAGAGAGACTTAACACAATTAGCTCAAAGCTCTTGAGAATGTTTGCAACCAATAACAAGGAAGATAAATTAAATTTTATTGTGATTGCTATTGAATGATTATGTACATTCTTGCATTTTATTGTTTTAATTTGAATTGGAAGCCACCTAGAGTGGTCTGGTAGTCCAGATAGGCGGGGGATAAATCAAAATAAATAAATAAATAAATAAGATGCACCCCAGAAGAATCTAACAGTTCTTCTTCATGGTCTCTGTGAATGCGCACTAATCGGTTAATCTGTGCTTGCATGGAGCAGCCTCGGAACTTTCTAACTCGAGCACATGGTGCTGGGACCTCCCCCACACTAGCTATAACTCAGCCCCTGGCACCGAGTGCCTCAGTTCCTTTTTGACGGCCACTGTTGCAGCTTCATATGGAACTTTATGCGCTCAATCAATCTATCTATCTTACCTTTTCCCCTCTTCTTTGGACCTCCCTGGCTTGATTCCGGACCTTATTTTGCAATTGTGAGTTATCTGCAAAAAGAAAAAATCCTAGATTAATTGTCGTCTTGCTTGCTTTGAGTTTATGGCCTCGCCGGGCCTCTTCAAGAGGTGTGAGGTCTGCTCAAACAAAATTCCCCTCTCCAACGGGCATTCCCATTGTTTATTTTGCCTCGGGGAAGAACATCAGCTGGCTGAGTTCACCTTTTGCAAAAACTTTACGAAGCTGGCTCTGAGGTTGAGGCTCCAATGCCTTAAATCATTTCTTTGGGAGAAATCCCTTTCACCATCTCAAACTGCCTATATGCATTCCCCCAAAACTCTGCAACCATCTCCAGCAGCTTCACCTGAGTTTGCAGCCCAAAAGGCGGTGAAAATGGCAGCCAAACCAAAATCATCCTCAAGGTCGATGGGCGTGGTGTCAACACAGTTGCAATCTTTGACATCTAGTTCGAAGAAGAAAACCCCTAAGCCTGCTAAAGCTGCTGAAATCTCAGCACTGAGGCCGGAGATATCCCGGCAACATTCGATGAGCCTGAGTGTACCCGCAGAGGAAGAGGATGTACCCCTGCAGGTGCCACCGCCATCCCCTTCCATCAGTGATATTCCTGACTGGAGTAACACTTCTCTAGAAGTTGTTGAATTGGCACAGGCCAGCCCACGTTTTTCGTTGGGCTTGTTGATGCAGCAGCCGGCTCTGACTGAGGTTCCCCGTAAGAGAACCCATAAATCCCGACACCTGGAGCTGCCTGAGCAACCAGACCCATATAGCCAGCAATCGGAGCGGAGGGGGTAGCCTGCTTGTCAAGGCCTATGGCATTACCTTGACTACCCACCGGTGTACAGGGCAGAGGACTTTGAACAGGACCTGCCTTTTCATCCAGAAAATATGACCTTATCGATATGACCCGTATCCTCGGTATCAACACTTTGAACCCTATGCTCAGCCCTTTTTGCTGGCTCCGCCTCAGTATTGTGGGTGGCGTGATATCACGCCCAAAGCTGAACAAGGCTATATTCCTCCGCCTCCTCCTCAACCTTGCAAAAGGCACCTGCCGCCGGCCTCTATTACCATTGGAGGTGTCAAGCTTTCTCAGCTGGCGCCAGACCCAAAGGTGGGCCGTGCAGGCTATGTTTACCCTGCAGTTGGACCTGAGGTGAGTTTGGCTCGAGCCCAAGCTGGAGAAGACTTCTTCCCAGCTCCACTAGAGGAGGCACCTTATTCCCCTTCCAGCAATCAGGACTCTGACTCCCAGGTCTCAGAGGGAGAGGAAGACTCACCAACTAATATTCCTACTCTATTGTCAGATGTGGCAGACAACCATCCTCCACCGCCATCACAGAATTACTCCTCCTACTCCCACCTCATTCACCAAATAGCGAAGGTCCTCGAACTTGATGTTGAGGTGCCTGCAGTTAAGAAAACAGAGAAGGTGTATGATGACATCACTCAGTAACAGACTCCTCCAGTATGCCTCAGATTCATACCGTCCCTTTCTGAACACGTGAGAGAGTCATGGCTTAAACCTTCTACTTCCTATCAAATTCACTCATTTCTTTATTTAAATCTCCTTGCCATATCTCTTTCAGAACTATTGTTTTATATTCATTCTCTACTAACATCTTATATTTTATAGCTATTATCCCTTTTCTTTGAATATCATCCATCTCTTTTCAATAATTTCTACAAATGTAGTCTTCCCCCTACATTCTCCTCTTCCTTTTCCCCCTATTCCTTGAATTATAAATCTTAAAACATAATTAAATTGGTTGTCATATTCAAATAGAGTGCAATAAAAACATTTAGAAATTTCTCAGAAAAATAGTAATTAGAGACTTAAAGTGCAATACATCCTTAAAAGCTTCTCTCCTTAGCAGTCTGTTGGCAAAGGATGTTGTCCTAGGCAGGCAATTCCACAATCTGCGAGCAGCCAGTGAAAAGACCCTGTCTCATATCCTTACTGGACAAACCTCTGAAGGTGCCAGGCCTCTCCTTCAGATCTCAAAAACTGGGTAGGCTTGGTTGAGAGAACATGGTTTTTCACAGAGCCTGAATCCAAGCTATATGAGACTTTATTTTCCCCCCTCTTCATCTCTTGGGCAAACAAAGCTTATAAATATAAAAATGTAAATCTTTAAAACCTGGAGATTACTAAAATGCACTATACTATATTACTGTAATATTTTTGGCAATTGTAAGCATCACTTTCAGTTACCCACAAATACCTTTGAAGATTTTGATATATCCTTCCCATGTCTTGGTTTCCAATCTAATCAATTTGGTTGGAACGCTCTAACTAGCTGAGGAATCATACACACTGAACAGTGTTGTCCTAAACTGCGTCACCAGGAGACCAACAACAAAAATCAGTCATGACTCTCAACTCTCATTTGAATCTGACCATGACAGAGGCTCTTTTTACACTTCAGTTCCCAGCAAAAACCACTTGGGAGACGGTTACTGTGTACAAACATACACATTGCCCTCAGATATGCTCAATCCTATTGTTTCTATGGAAACCTCTCCCCCAGATTGACAGAGCAAAGTACGAAGTATTTTGCAGCGGTTTTCCTTGGTGACTATTGTTATCTTTGGTGAGAAAAGATTAGGTAGCACTGAAATAAATAAATTCATGCACAGTTTATGGCATGTAAGTAAATAGCTTGCAAAATCTGAAAAACAGTGCACTGAATGTGCATATATAAGCAATATGGGGGGGGGACACTGACTAATACACATACATTCTTGCTGTTTCTCTAAGAATGGACTACAGTTAAATGGCATAGATCCATTAACTAGCCTTTGCACAAATGAAAGTGAAATAGTGTTATGTCCTCAAGGAGTCACTGATCTTTGTACAGTATTTTGAAGCACCACGTGCTGTTTATAAAAGGAGATGTCTTAGAGTTACACTTTTGATTGTCTAGCCTTGGTCTTTTTTGTATGAGTGACATATTTGGCTCACGTGGAAGTCACAAAAGCAAGAGTTTATTTAGTTACAAAAGTAAAGGAGTACGGTAAGTTCCAAACCAAAGACAACCACTGCCTTTTCCCAGGGAGTCAGGGCTTTTTTTAACCACTCTCCTTTCTCTTGTTCTCTACAGCTCCCTATGGTTCCTCTCACTGCTCTGAAGGACCAGCTTCTCAAGCTTTCTGTTACCTATTCCTCACCTCTGCCTAATCCCTTGATCAGGTTCTGCTTGTTTAGGCCAAGTGGCTCAGGTTATATCCTCAAATTGCCAGCTCAGCTGCTTTATACTCGCACACAAAAAAACCAAACAGTATTGTTACAGCATAGACACAAACAAAAAGAAAAACCACAAAACATCATAGATAGAAACAAAGCCTCCTGCTGCTTTTGGTTCAAGCAGTGACTGTCATTTGTCACAGCAACAGGGCACAAGAACTTCAGTCCCTTTCTGTAATGTATGGGGAAGGAATCTTGTACCTTCAAGCCCAGTAGAAGCTCTAAATGCAGAAATTGCCCATCTTCTGGTTCAGTTAGACCAGAGGTCTCCAAACTTTTCCTTGGACGAGCCACGTCATATATGCTCCACAGTTTTGAGGGCCGAAGGAAGACACATGCATCCTGCCCTTATGCGCTTGTACGCACGCCCACACACATATGTCTACCCATGCACGTGCACACACGCGGGTCAGCCAGTTTGCCGGGCCAGATAAAAAGGAAAGGCCAGCCAGATGTGGCCCACAGGCTGAGCTAGACTGAGCTAGACTAATTGTGTATCAGTAACTGTCAATATATAGCTGTTGTAACTGCAGCATGTCAAATATAAGACAATTATTGAAGCATTTGCAGAAGAGATTTCAAAAAGAATCACCTACTATTCAGTAAGAGAGAATCTGCTTGGTGGGAGCCAGTTCTAAAAATTGCAGGACAATATGGATTTAGCACTTCAGGGCAGAAAAGGAGCCTTCTGGTCTCTGAAATATTTGAGGAAAGATTGGAATCCTTTTACACCGGCATGGGAAGGCTACAGCCCTTGGTCTAATTCCAAAAGGCTTCTGTAAATGATAATTCAGTCCTTTACAAGAGTGCCCTGTTCTCTCCCCAGCAGTATATAGGAGTGGAAGAGGGAGAAAAAGCTGGCATAGAGGGAAGGAAATGTTTGATTGCATTAGGTTCTAACCCCCATCACTGTTGGCTTCAACCCCATTCACCAGCAGTGTTTGGCCATTAGGGGTTACCCCTGCAATGGCATACAACTCCTCTAGCCATGTTTGCCCACTGCTCTATTGTACAAATGTGAATAGATCCATATTTGTGTTTAATACTTCATCTCTTTTTTATTAACACACATTGACACAGTTTTCAAATTTCAAAATATATTGGCTGGATCGTGTAGTATACAATGTATGTGTTTGCATCTGAAATAATATATTTGTAATGGCTTATTCCTTTCTGTGTATATAATCCTCCCTCCACCCCACTTTTGAATCATGTTGGTACATGAACAAGAAAGACAGTGGTTAAAAAACCCAGAAGGGAGGTAGCTGGGATTGGGAAACAAACATTCATTTCAGAGAAGGACTCTCCCAAGAACTACCTGAACGGAATTGCTTTCCTCTAGAGCAAACCTGGGCAAAGTGCAGCCCGAGGGCCACATACGGCCCGCAAGCTGCTCCTGTCCGGCCCGCGGACAGTTTTGAACATCAAAACCATTTACAGCTTTTTGTCTAAAGTTGATCAGTTGCTTATCTCTAACATACCACAAAAAACCTCTTTAGTATTTGTGAAGGTTAACAATTTTAAAATAGAAACAATCATAGCATCACTGTTTCATTTTATTTTTAAGTAAAGTTGGTTCGGCCCTTGAACACAGTTCAGATTTTTCATGTGGCCCCCCCTATAGAAATTAATTGCCCACCCCTCCTCTAGAGGACCATCATTGCTTTTGTGGCATCAGCAGCCATTACATACATCTCCATCCTTTTTTGAACCTGTCTCCATAGTCCTATTCAGACATATCTTCATGTGGTTAACATTTTATGTAGACATGGAGCCAAATGTATTATCTCTGTACACACACCCCTTATCATTGCCCTCCATGAGTTGCAGGGTGGCCATCAGGGGTGGGGAGTTTAAGCTGGTAGTGTAGGCTCCCAGTACATAGAGAGCAACTGAGGTGGCAAGGGAGAAGGCACAGGAAGTTCAGCTGTTCCTGCTGCCACTCTATATTCATATCAAGCAATGTAGATGTCTCATATTTTGTCAAGGAACAGTGAAGTCTGTCACACCTAACAGTGTTGAACGAAGAATGAAATGCCATGAAGAAATGCGAAGAATGCATAAGGACATTCAAATGTCACCAACAAATCAGCATAAACACTTGGTATCCTTCTGTATTATAGTATAGTTTGCAGGGTGCCTCTTGGCTCTGTGAAGCATATGCTATGGAATAATTGAGTTCTTCAGTTTAATAGATTGGTGTGTTAAATTGCGAAGCTAGGGGGTGGAGCTATAGTGTAAAAAAGTAAATTTTACCAGCTCTGAGGTCTCAGATGTCACCTTCTTCCCTCCCAACCCTTTGCTCCTAGGGAAGAGAGGACTTCTAGACTTACAATTTGAGTGTAGAGGTGCAGCAAAAGCCAGGCTGATTCTTCCCTTTTAAATAAAATTTTTGGCATGTATATGTTATTGAAACAGTAATGTCTACGTTCGCTTGGGTATGTTGTGAGAATGGCTGATGGTCGGATTTCAAAAGATCTATTGTATGGAGAATTAGTGCAGGGAAATCGCCCCAGAGGGAGACTCCAGCTGCGATACAAGGACATCTGCAAGCGGGATCTGAAGGCCTTAGGAATGGACCTCAACAGATGGGAAGCCCTGACATTGCGCGTTCAGCCTGGAGGCAGGCGATACATGATGGCCTCTCCCATTTTGAAGAGACCCTTGTCCAGCAGACCGAGGTGAAGAGGCAGTCCCAAAACCAGCAAAATCAGGGAGCTGGAAAGGGGACAGATTGTATTTGTCTTCAACGTGGAAGGGATTGTCACTCTCGAATTGGCCTTCTCGGCCATACTAGACACTGTTCCAAGTCCTCCATACAGAGCACATTACCATAGTCTCTTGAGACTGATGGATGCCTAATCTAGAAAAATAAGACACCTCCTATTTGGGCCAGAAAGTGGGGAGAATGACTCACATAGCTGTTTCCTTAGGAACAGGAATGTAATAGGACAGTGGCACATGAGAGTTTTACAGTATACAAGCTGCTACGTGTTAAGAGGAAAGCTTCCATTAGAACCAATAAGAGCTTTCATGTCACTGCAGACAGCAGGTTTAGGAAAAGTGGGAGTGGAGAAGGGTTCAGCATAGTGGCAGGAATTGAAATACTTAATATTCTCTGTTTTCCCTCCACATTCCTGATTCCAGTCTCCCTGTGTCAATTTGCTATTTTGGTTTTTTAAATAGTTGCATTAATATGAAAACACATTTAGCACAATGTATCATTTCGCCCTCAGGGCTACTTGTCACACCAGTAACATAATCTATGGCATGCTTTCCAAAAATGTTTACATGACTCCATTTTTCTTCTAGTCCCCCCATATTGTACAAGTTGTACTTAAAATTCCTACACCTTGGCAAGGTTTACCATCACCCCAGCTACATTCCAGTTTGGGACTGAACTAGTAAGTACTTGTCAGATAAGTTCAGTAAATGTTAATTAGTGAGATTCTAATAAGATTAGGTGAAATAATTAAATTTAAATGCAACTTTCACATGCAGAAGAGCTTTATTATTTGCTTCTTTTAATAGTGAATGAGTTTCTTCTTAATTTGTTCTGAGGGAAAAGTGTGTTAGGATTTCATCCTAATTTTTCAACATTTTATCACTTGTCATCGCTGCCTTTAGCCAGCCATGGGTTAGTCGGAATTCTTGAAGGCTGAGTAAACTATTTTGATAGATTCATTAGTTAAGAGGAAACATACGTTTCAGTCAATATCAAGGAAATATTTTTGAAAGCCAACTTTCATCAGTATACTAACTGAGCAATAAACATTAAAAGCTGTACAGTGGTGCCTTGACTTATGAACTCCGGTTGTAACTCAAAATGGTTGTAAATCGAAGCACCATTTCCCATAGGAATGCATTGAAAT